GAGTGGACGTTGCTATCGCCTGGAGAAGCAGTGCGATGGATTGTTTGATTGTGATGATGGAACAGACGAGATCAATTGCCATGTGAGAAATGACACAGAACTGTTAAGTTACAGAAAGTACAGATTCAATCGCGTACTACGCCATTATGAGAACGTGTGGCTCTGGAAGGATGTGAACATTGGACCACATGGTCGATACATCTTTAATGTGGAGGTTCCCGATCGTCCCGCCTACTGGATGGTAAGTGCTTTCAGCGTGAGTCCGTCCAAGGGCTTTGGAATGATTAACAAGGCTTTGGAGTACGTTGGAGTTCAACCCTTCTTCATTAACGTGGAAATGCCCGAGGCTTGTCGACAGGGCGAACAGGTTGGCATCCGTGTCACAGTGTTCAACTACATGACTACTCCTATCGAGGCCATTGTGGTGCTGCACGGAAGTCCAGACTACAAGTTTGTGCACGTGGAGGAGGATGGCATTGTAAGGTCGTATAATCCTAGAACCAGCTTTGGTGAGCACCAGTTCTTTATCTACTTGGAGGCCCAAGGCACTACTGTGGTTTATGTACCAGTAGTGCCGCAGCGTCTGGGCAATGTGGATGTAACACTGCACGTGGCAACTTTGCTAGGCACAGATACTATTACCAGAACATTGCATGTCGAGTCAGACGGCCTGCCACAGTATCGTCATCAATCCGTGCTCCTGGATCTCTCGAACCGCGCCTACGTCTTGGAGTATATGCATGTAAATGTAACCCAGACGCCAGAGATTCCATATCAAGTGGACCGTTACTTTGTGTACGGCTCAAACAAGGCTAGGATATCCGTAGTGGGCGATGTGGTCGGTCCTATTTTCCCCACCATGCCCGTCAATGCCAGCTCCCTGCTTTATTTACCCATGGAATCGGGCGAGCAAAATGCCTTCAGTTTCGCAGCCAATCTCTACACAATTATGTACATGCGATTGATTAATCAGCGCAACAAAACGCTGGAGAAGAATGCCTTCTACCACATGAACATTGGTTATCAGCGGCAGTTGAGTTTTATGCGGCCAGATGGCAGTTTCTCCCTATTCCGCTCCGATTGGAACAACTCAGATTCGTCCGTTTGGTTAACCAGCTACTGCCTAAGAGTGTTCCAAGAGGCCAGCTTCTACGAGTGGGAGAACTTCATTTGGATCGATGCCACCATTATTGAGAAGAACATGCGTTGGCTTCTCCAGCACCAGACGCCACAGGGATCATTCTACGAGGTTACTTGGCTGCCGGACCGGAAAATGAATCGCACCAACTTTGACAAAAACATCACGCTTACCTCCCATGTCCTGATTACTTTGGCCACCGTGAAAGATATCTCTGGCGTTCTGGGATCTCGAGTTGCATTGGCCACCCAGCGAGCTGTGGCTTACATAGAGAGGAATATGGACTTCCTGAAACACCAAGCACAGCCATTTGATGTAGCCATTACAGCCTACGCACTTCAACTTTGCAACTCCCCGATAGCCGAAGAAGTATTCTCCATTTTGCGTCGCCAGGCCAGGACTATCGGCGATTTTATGTACTGGGGTAATCAAGAAATTCCGCAACCCCCGCGAAAACTTGAGAACCAAAAGTGGTTCTCCCTGCCTCGGCTGCCGTACGAATATGATTCCTTGAACATAGAAACCACCGCCTACGCCCTATTGGTTTATGTGGCACGTCGTGAGTTCTTTGTGGATCCCATTGTAAGGTGGCTTAACTCGCAGCGCTTAAACGACGGCGGATGGGCCTCCACTCAGGATACCAGTGCAGCACTTAAGGCTCTTGTGGAGTACACGGTACGCTCGAGGCTGCGTGAGGTGTCCTCGCTGACCGTGGAGATCGAGGCCTCGTCGCAGGGCGGCAAAACACAAACCCTTTTCATCGATGACACGAATTTGGCGAAACTGCAGAGTATCGAGGTGAGGGACATTGCTTGTACAACTAATTCATATAAATATTATTTAACAAAATCAAAACTTTCAGTATCCAATACTAAACTGTTAATTCTGCCTATTAATGTTTTATCACCTATCTTTTTCAGATTCCAGACGCTTGGGGAACCATCAAAGTCCAAGCCAAGGGTGCTGGTTATGCCATCCTGCAAATGCACGTGCAGTACAATGTCGACATTGAGAAGTTCCAGACCAAACCACCGGTGCCAGCCTTTGGGCTTCACACTAAGGCAATCTTCCACGGCAGAAATCAGTCGCACATCTCCTACGTTACTTGTCAAAAGTGAGTCTTAAAAAGCGTTAAAAATATAAGATCAGTTTAAAAAGTGTGTATATCTTAGGTGGATTAACCAAAACGAGTCTGAGCGCTCGGGCATGGCTGTTTTGGACGTGGCCATACCAACTGGCTACTGGATACAGCAGCAAAAACTGGACAGCTATGTGCTTAGCAATCGCGTTAGGAATTTGAGAAGGGCTCGATATCTGGAACGCAAGGTTGTCTTCTACTTCGACTATGTAAGAACAAGTGAAAAAGTTAGGGAAAATCAAAAGGTTATGTTTAATTCCGACCTTTTTAACAGCTCGATCGAGAGGATATCTGTGTGAACTTTACCATAGAACGCTGGTATCCAGTGGCCAATATGTCTCGTTATCTGCCGGTGCGCGTTTACGACTACTATGCACCCGGTAAGTGGAATCTTTTAAAAATAAGCAAAGCAAACTCATTTAATAACTGTCAACGAAACTAAATTTGTTCAATTACAGAACGCTTCAACGAATCGATATTCGATGCCCTGCCCACATATTTGCTAAATATTTGCGAGGTGTGCGGCAGCTCCCAGTGTCCTTACTGCTCCATCTACAACATGGGCTGGCGTGCCTCCATGTCCATGTCCCTGCTCTTCTTCAGCGTATTCGTCTACCTGCTGCGGAGTCGCACGCACCTGGTCTTAAACATGATGCAACTGCTCACATAGGGAAGAATGAAAGAAATCCACAAAGTCACCCTCGAAACACTTTGCTAAGATTTTTAGTGTTATTGTTCATTTATGTGTTTACTTTTTAGTTTTTTGTTTTGAGTTGTAGTCTTCTGTTTGCCAACGAAATTGCATTCCGTCCAAAAATGCTGGTTAACATTTTGGTTTAATTTTTAGTTTTTTCTCTGTAGTACTCCATAGACCCGCTGTAGAATTGAATGTACAAAACGGCAGTTAAGCATAAATTAATCTTTATTTTTATTGCTGAACAAAGAATCTTCTGCTACACACCAAGCAGACTACATTTAGCCACCTAATGTATCTTGTAAGTCGTAACGAACCGTACTATGCCTTATCATAGAGCGGGCTCCAAGTGCGGAATGAAAAATCAATCAATGTGTCTTTCACAAAATGCCTTTAATAGATTTTAGAAATCATTAGCAAATGTATCTTAACAAAAGATTGCATGCATATCAAATGAAAATTTATCTAATTTGTATAACCAAACACTTGAGTACTTTTAAACGAATTAAGCGAAATGCGTTAAAGAAACCGTCCAATTAATTTATGCAAATAATGAATCTGCATAGTTTGTAAGTTTGATACGTATATTACCCTCACAAGGACCACAAATAGATTCTAGATTGTATTAACAATTCTCACATGGCTATCCATGTACATGAAACTAAATAGGCGAGGAAGAAGGAAATATTTTCGTCTGTAAACAATTTGAAAAGTCGTTCCCTCCCGTAGTTTGTTTTACATTTGAATACCTTTAAACGAACCAAGCGAAAAACGTTGAAGAAACCGTTCAATTAATTTATGCAACCAATGAATCTGCATAGCCTATAAGTTTTATACGTATATTCCCTCCACATCGACCACAATTAGATTTTAAATTATATTAACAAATCTCACATAGCCATGTACATGAAACTAAATAGGCGAGGAACATGGAAATATTTTCGTCTGTACACAATTTGAAAAGTCGTTCCCTTCCGTACCATAAGAATCGAATCTCTCTATAAAGTAACTTGTGTTTTCTTTTGTAATAAACAAACCTGAAAATAAATGAATATAATGCCTTACGGGTTGTATCTTCTTGGCTAACCAATACTTGAATTCGGAGGAAGTAATGGATTACAAAAGCAGATTTTACTATATTTAAAAATCTTTTAAACCAAAAGAAATTACCCTACCTGTACCCTAGCAGGTCGTTCCCATGGGAGCATTGTATATTCTATACAGAGCTTTCCGATTTTTAGAAAACTAAATAATGATTACACAAATGTTAAGATAATGTACCATTTCAATTTACTGGTATATGTTTTACATAGTATAGCGGTTTTTGTATTATTTTGACATTAGTTTTCCGGTCTTTTCTTTGGGAGCTTTCACTGGTCGGCAGTCCACGTAGTGACGCAGCGCTCTAGGAGAGTGTGCGAAGACGACTACTATATATAGCCGTAGAATTGAAAATCCCTAATAAGATTCATGTTATGATATAGTAGTCCGATTTTTATTAAATTCGTTATTCTGAAATATTAAAAAAAAATTTATATATCGGAGTAGAAGTGAAGATAAACAAAAAAAACCGAAGCTATAATTATTTTCCCGATCCGTTCATCGCGATATAATATAATTTGTTTCATTTTATTTTCCCACCAATTTTTCGATCGTTCCTATGGCGCTATATGATATAGTCGTCCAATTTTGATAAAATTAAATTCGAAATTCAGAAATACCTCTTCAAGGTATGCATAGATAAATAAGATTTGCAAAGTCTCATGATTTACACTGCCCAACATTTCTATAAAAACTACCATAAAAACTTTTAAAGTTTTAAGACGTTTCTGACCCTCTAAAGTTTATACATATGTATATTCTTGACCAGCATCACAAGACGAATATCCGTCCATAGAGCGCTTAGATCTCGGAATCTATAAGCTAGAAAGTTTTTTACGCAACGCAAGTGTGGTTTTTGGTGTTGTGTATCAAATCCCTATCTATAAATTTTTGAAATCGTACCATTCATTAAGAAGTCCAGGCATAGGTCATTATAAGGATATTTTTTTTTTTAATATGTCCTGTGTGGCTTAGTATATTTATTAATACCTTTTAATATGACTGTATTATTCCTACGTTTGCGGCCTCCTTTCAAATAAAAAATGGGTACATACAAATATAAAAAATTACTACTTTTACGTTTCTAAATAAAAATGCCGATTTTCCTAATATTTTCCCGGCTTAACTTCTCCTCAAAACATGTATGCTCATTGACATAAAAATTTATACAAAAAAGGAAAAATAACTATCTTAAAGTAGAGTCGATAACACATGGATGCGAATTGCCTACTACGTCTTGCGAAAGCTTAGTAGGATAGGTGATATTGCCTCCAGACAGTCCATGATGTCCTTTCGCGACTTAGCGCCCGTAAAGACAACTTTCCCATTGACAAAGATCAGGAGCACGATGCGTGGCTTGACCATGCGGTAGATCAGACCGGGAAACATCTCCGGTTCGTAGGAGCTGAACTGGCCATGCACCTGGTTGAGATTCTCCAGACGGATTGGAAAGCGCAAGTCCACGGTGGCCACAATGTTCTGCAACTTGTATTCCATGAACTTCACGGGGAATCCCAGCTTCTGCAGGATGCGGGCAAACTTCCGGGAGCCAATGTCTGCCTCGATCTCGTTGCGGGCACCCGTGCAAATGATCTTGCCTGTCCGGAATATTAGGGCCGTGCACCTGGGCGAGTGCATCCGCATAATCACGCCCCTGAAGCGCTTGGGTGAGTATTCCGAGTTCCTAGTGCGCGAGTTGATTGCCTTGAGGTCCAGTTCACAGTTCACCGAGAAGGTGGCCACGATGTTCCTGCAAATGATGGATTCATCAATGGGTTTTTGTCAGTTTCGCGAGAAGTGCTGGGAATGTCGTCAACCAACTGGAGTCTGATCTCATGCTGTGCATCCTTCGGCTCCACCAGTGCAACAGGTTGCTGCGGCTGCAGGGCGGCGTGCGGATTGGCGCCAACATTGCTGGGTGCCGCCACATTGTCCCTGTCTCTTTCAGCGTCCGCGATTTTGAAGTGGAACTGCATTGCTACAAATTATAAACAAATCCCGCACGCGAAGTAGCCAGTGTTGCTCTATTGAATGAAAGTGAAAATTGGAATGTGCCGGTTTGGTATTTTTACACCGCAGCCGAAAATGCGATAGGCACTGGAAAAAATATCCGAAACTTTTTTTTAAATCCAAAGGAAGTGTTTTGATCGTGCCTATTTTACTTGCGGTTATACATCTGAATGTTTGTTATTTTACGAGCAACTTGGTTTGCATTTAGTCGAACATTTTCAGAATATTTTTCATTGAATTATCAGTTGTTAGAATTCATTAACAGTCCTATGGAAAATTGCTATGATTTGATTTTAACTTATTTTGTGTAAATAAATATTTGATTTACAAAAATAATTTAAATACAAATTTAGTTTACCTAAAACAAAATAATTGGTAGCCCTGGCCACTTGGTGTTTGCCCGCTACTCCGATCTGGCCACACTGCTAACAGTAGGCCGAGTACTTTACGGCAAATTGACGACAATTTAAACAATAATGTCGGCCCACAGCGGCGGAACGGATTGGAATTCCGTGGTTAAAGCTCTGCTACTAAACCGTACAGGAGCCCTCAACAAGAACGAAGTAGTTAACCTGCTAAAAGCGATCACGCGATGGTAAGTAAAGCAGAGCCAGAATTTTTCTCTACGCGAATGGCGCAGTGAAAAATATTTGGGGACTACTGCAAGTGCAAAAAATGACTTGCAAAATTAAATATGGCCGCCCCAGTGACGAAACAGCCAAAAGCTTTGAAAATTCTGTATTTTCAATATCTAACGCAACGTTCTATTCCGTAATTTGTTTAGCGAACATGATTTTTTCGAGGAGGAAAGCAATTTCACCCAGTTTTACACGGCCTTTGCGGCCCTGGCGGCTGACAAACTTATGCAAATCAAGACGAGTAAGTGCACCCCTGTGATTTTTCGCCAAAGAAAACAACACAACAAAGAAATGTTTGGCCAAGAACTGAGTGATTCACTCACGATGGTATCAGTGTGCTACACAGACATTAATAATCTTTCGGTTTTGCAGTTTGCCAGACGCAGATTTGTCAGCTGCACGATGCCACCGCCGTGCTCATCCGGTTCATCCTCTACAGGCTGCCCAGGGTATCTGTGTACGAGACCAAGTGGCTCCTGGGCGCACTCAAGATGCTCTGCGAGGGCCGGGAGAATCCCCCATCTACATCGACGGCCACCTTCGACTACAACGCTGTGGCCAACGTCCTGAAGAGCTGCAAGCATCCGGAGTCCACCACCAAGAGCATAATGCCCAGCAGCAGTTCCTCGGCCAGCGGATCGAGCAACGACAAGGAGTCGCCTAAGTCGGAGATTAAGCGATCCAGATCGGACCTGTCCTCTGTTATTCTGCAGCAACTGATAGCTCCTCTGGAGCCCGGCAAAATGACATGGGTTCCCCTCAGCGAAGAGGTTACCGACTGCACTGTGAGCAAGATAAATCCAAGCATCTGCTTTTTTATGTCCCTTTCTAATAGACTGGGTTTTGTGTTTTAATTTTTTTGTTTACATAATTTACTTTCCATTTATGATATTTCTTAATGCTTATCACAACAGTTGTGGTATTTTCATTTGATGCATTTTTTGTTTAAACTCCTATTTCACACTTAAAACTAATTTGTTACCCTTCGGGTTTTTGTTTATGCACTCCCATTTATTAATTTGAGCATGTAAAAGAGGCTGATCATCTAAACTTTGTAAGAAACCCCATATTAAATGTTTTTTCGTTGCAGGAGCAACTCCTTGCGGCCAATGTGGAGTACTTCCAGGATCAAAATGGAGTCGACACCTTGCTGGACGTGTGCGTTGGCCTACCAATACTGAATCGCTACCGATCAAAATATTTGGAGACTATCAACGGCGGCAAGCCGCTCTATTTGCCTCTGACGCAAGTGGAGGCCACCACTGTGAAATCGAGCATGAATCACATGCTCACTGATCTCACTATTTTGAGTCAGGCTCATGCCTTGATTGTGTTGCAGCCGCTGACTCCCAGTCGAATTGAACGGCTATCGATGTGCGGCATTGCTGCCTTATACAATGCAGTATTGACTTCGATAGCCACCAGTGTTCTCGGAATGAGCCAAGCGAGCAGCTCCCAAAAGCAGCAGACTGCATCCACTAGTCAAGGGAGCGGAGGAGGCGGTTCCAGCTCTGGGCAAACCAATAAAGACCACGACGACTTTGAGGAGCAGGCCTGTAACATAGTGAACAAGGCTCTAGAGATATACTCAAATATTGGCGATATGTTTAAGGCGTCGGCTCGGATTCATGTGTATCAGAACCATCTCTGCTATGGCAGCTGGCTGCTTATTAGCGGTATCCAAGGAGCAATGGGCGCCTCCGGAAGTGGTGGAACAAGCTTGGAGACAGCGTCAAAATCGGCAACCAAAGCTGCCAAGACAGGAAGTGAGGCTGGAACCGCTCCTACCACTCCTATAGCAAGAGTGAATCTATTCAAAGTCCAGCAAGGATTCGGGGAACTCAATGCAGCAATTGCCAATCACAGCATTAAACTGCTATCTGAGTTAATTGAAGATCTGAAGATTGAATCCGCCTGTGGACAGAGGCCTGAATCCCCGGAGGTGCCGGAGCCAGCACAGTTCGACATCTTGCAAAACTATAGTTCGCTGGAGAGGATTGTCAGAGTGCTTAATACGGCCACGCTCCATCAGCTATTCACATTTCTGGCCACGGTAGCTTACCGCAAGGCCTGCACCTTGAGACGCGCCTCCGCGAAGGATCGCACGGAATGCGAACCCATAAGCTACTCAGATTCTACCACCTATTTTAACGATTCTCTCTCCTGCTCTGACAATTCGGAGGAGGACGACAGCGAGAGTTATCTGGGCCACTGGTTTAAGGAAACTCTTTCCCCAGAAACACATGACGATAATGCAAATACATCCACACAAGAACGCGGAGAGCAGAAAAGCGCCCTTGTCCCCAAACTGGATGAGCCACATGAATATTTAGATTTGGCGGCCGACATATTCTGTTTCCTGGACCAATTTCTAGCCAATCGGCACGCATACATGCAGCGCTATGTAAAGGCGGGAGTCAGTGATCAGCAAATGCTGTTAATGGCTAACATAATCAAGGATTTCGACCGGGATGTAATGCGAAATGAGTGCGAACAGGGGTCGGGAAATGCTCCAGCTACTAATGCGGGAGCAGGATCAACTGTAGTAACTTCTACCAAGTGGCAAACCTCTATGATTCGCTTTTCGGGAGCTGCTGGACGCTATATACACAATTTAATATCCACTTCGCTGCTTTCCGAGCAACTACAGTCCAATCTGTTGCAGCACTTATCCATATCACCGTGGTCTACCGATACGAGCACCTGGCCCCTGCAGGTTTACCCAAGTACCTTGTCAGTACTCGTGCAAATCCTATTGCTGAAGCCCACACAAGAGAAGGAGGCCGCGTGTCTATCTGTGTGGCATCGCCTGATTAACACTTTGGTTGAGGGCGTCTGCTCCTGGACCGCCGCCAGTGATTCTGACTACGAAGACTTAAATATAGAGCATGCCCAACTGCTTCTTTTCCTATTTCACTCGCTCAACCTGATGCAAAAGAAGTCCATTCTGCTCTTAACAGCTGGAGGAGTTATCCGTTGTGCCGAAGTTTGCCGTGGAATCAGCGGCGATCGACCCGTAAAAAACAGCCAAATGATGCTGTTATCCCGATTGCTTCTATTTTTGGAGTATCTTATGAAGCATTTGTACAATGCTCCTCCTGAGTTGTTGGACCAGGTACGCTGGAATCTGTTTAGCGTAAGCAGCATGCCGGAAAGCCAAAAGATCACGGATCTGCTTAACAGCCGTACCAAACTGAATTCCTATTGCCGCCAGGATATCGAGGAAAAGTTCCGAAAGTCAGCTGGTGAATATGGATCGGGTAAGTGAAAAATTCTCCATGAATCTCAGCTTAACTCTACAGAACTTCTACTTACTGCAGCAATTCGCCCAACTTTTTATTCTCTGGTTATGGGCGATCCCGAAAAACCCTATTGGGCACAGGAATTCAAATTGGATGGCCTGGCCTGGAACTTTATTCTTTGCACTCCAGACAAGCTCAAGTATCCGCTACTAGTAGATGCCTTGACTGACATACTCTCCATCACCGATATGTCTGTATATTCCAAAGAAAAGGAAAAAGAAGCAAGCATGCACAATTTGTGTGCAATGCAGTACTGCTTTAGCATTGCATGGAAGCTAGTTTTGGGTCTGCCGCCCTCTACTTCTCACGTAGAGTCGCTGAAGGCCGAACGCTCTCCCAACCTGCATTCTCTGATCTGGAGTATTCGCTGCCCACTGTCCAGTTCACACTACCTGGTGGTTAACAGTCTTATCAAGCAAGGAATGTATACCCAGTACGCCGAGACGCTGTGGAATCAAGTGGGCGATATAGCGGCCGATATGAAATATAGTCTGAAGCAAACCATTCTTGGTGTGGAATCGTTTAACAGTCAGATGAACGGAAACGGTAAGACCTTTTAGATGTTTTTTTACATTCTACTCTTTCAAAAAAATATTATTAAAAATATAAAAACTTGCTTAATTCAACAAAAACATGCTTTCAGCGGGCACTCCAAGGCTCTCCGATCTCATCCTCTTTGATTCTTTGGTGGCCCATATGCATGCGGTGGCCTGGGCGAACAAGGAAGGCTACAAGTGGCCCCGAAAGGAGAGCGAAGATGCTTCCAGCGATCAGTCCTCTACAACGGGTACTTCTTTAACTAGCACGCCCAACGATCCCGAAATGTATTCTTCGAACGAGTCAATTGATGAGCAAAAGTCAAAACATGAAGAGGAGGGTAAGCTGCCTAGTGATCTGCAGAAACATAACCAACTGGTAAACGAGCTTATAGTTAAGCTTATGAATTCCTACCGCCTGCTTTCGGTCATTGTACGTGGCCAGATGCTGAAGCAATTGTCAAGCTCGACACCGGAGCAAGCATTGAATCTGATTGTGCCCATTGTAAGTGACAAGCCAGCGATAATGTTGGAACTTCATGCGGCCTTTCTA